TAAACTATCAAGGGCTCATGCGGGAGGGGGGAGCGGGGAGGGAGGGGAAAAATGAGGACCTAATGTCGGGGGTTTAAGTGGAGAGAAAGTGTTTTGAGAAACGATGTACAAATGCGCTTTACACAATTGATGTGTGTATGGATTGGGATTGCAGTTGTATGAGACCCTAATAAAATGTTATAAAAAAAAAAAAAGAAAAAGAGGAAGGCCCTAAGGGAACTGAAGTGATGCTGTGGCTGGGACAATGGGCTCACACATAGGAACAATTGTGAGGATGGTACTGTACTGGGCAGTGTTTGTTCTGTTGTGCATGATGTCTCTGTGGTTGGAACCGACTCGGTGGCACCTAACAGCTCCCGTAGAGATTTACAAACTCGGAGATCCTATATGAAGTCATTATGAGTCAGAATCATCAAATCAATGGCAGTGGGCATTTCTGCTAGTGGAGCCCTGGTGGCAAAGTGGTTACATGTTGGCCTGATAACCAGCCATGGGAAAGAGGAGGCTTTCTAATCCTTCAGAGTTATAGTCTTGGAAATTCACAGGGGCAGCTCTACCCTGTCCTATAGTATGGGGGTAGCCAGCCCCCCACAACTAATCATGGGTTCGGTAGGTGCAATTGTACAGTTAAGATATATAAAGATTATTGTAAAGTCATAGAGAAATAGGGAAGATGGGAGAGAGAGAGTAAAATAAAGAAGTCAGACACATTTCATGGTAGCATGCTCACCTCAGCTCCTCTTGGTGGTACACGTGGAGATGGGAAACGAGAGAGCAAGAACAAGCTCTCATGAGGTTTTATTTCTAACCAAAGCATATTTATCTTTGGGGGCATGCAAGCTCCCTTTACAGATAATGACCTACATCAAAGGAAAGGATTTTAACATAGGCAATACAAACAATAGGAATGGGGTTGACCTAGGGCTGTACACACAATAATAAAGGGATGGAATAGGGGTACATATGTAGCAAGATGGGTGGACCCTAGGCTCAATATAGTAGCCCAACCTTAGTCATCCTTGAGTGGTCCCAGGCTCGCCTTTGGGCACTCTTTCAAAGAAACAATATCAGAACGGACTGGGCCCTGCTTAGGGTGAGTCGGATTATACAGTCTGGTTGCTCTAGATACCCTGAAGGAGAATAACATCTGACCTACTTTTGTTGACCTCCTAGTGTACAGTCATTTACTTGTGTCTTGGGTTTGGCATATATTTGGGGGGGACAACTTGGGAGAAATCTTTCTTTATCCCACACTATAGGGTCACTATGAGTCAGAACTGATTAATGGCAATGAGTTTGGTTTTAGTTTCTAACTAGCATTTTTCTAAAAGTCATTCTTTAAATTGCTTTTAGACTCTTAGTGGTACAAATGGTTTGCATCTCACTGGTAACCATAAGGTTGGCAGTTCAAACCCACAGTGGCACAATTGAAGAGATCACTTGCCTATCTACTTCCATAAACATTGTAGCCAAGAAAACCCTATGGAGCCAGGCCACTCTGTGACCCATTGGGTTACCATGAGTCAGAGTCAACGCAATGGTGACCACAAATATAGACTTACTTAAAATTTTAAAAAACAAATTCACTTAGCCAATAAGTAAGGCCTGGGTCCCTTTTAGAATTACATTCGGTGGTGCAAACAGTTAAGCACTTGACTAATAACTTAAAACTTAACAGTTCAAACCTGCCCTTAGACACCTTGTAAGACAGGCATGACAATCTGCATCTGAATGATCGCGGCCTTGAAAATTCTATGAAGCAGTTCTCAGCAGTAACCACCAACAACAGCTACTTATTAAGTTCCTGGGCAGCAGAAGCAGGTTACACTCCACTGCCAACCTAAAGTTTAGTAGTTCAAACCCACCCAGTGGTGGTACAGGCGAAAGGCCTAGCTGTCCATCTGTTTCCATAACAATCAGACCAAGAGAATCACACAGAGCAGTCCTCTTTGTAGCACGCGGGGGTCCTTGAGTCAGCACGACTCCACACTACTAACAGCAAAGTCCCTCTTGGGCAATTAGAAATGACAAGAAAGGAGATGGCACTCATCCACATAGATTTCTAGCTGTGCCATCATAGAAAATAATCCTTGGACAGTTTGATAGTGTCTTTAATGATTGTGGAAGAATCGCACCTAAACCTCCTTTCTTCAGACATTCTCATTCAAAAGGTTAAAACCAAACAAGTGCTGGGAATTTGTATCTCCACCAGTTACACTGAACTCACTACCGGCAAGTGCATTCTGGCCACAGCCACCCTACAGGGCGGAGTACAACTGTTCCCTAAATTTCAGAGGCTGATATGTCGTCTTAAATAATATTCCCTCTTTTTACCTTTCCTCTTTCTAATATCCATTGCAATGGCTACACAGAACTCATAAACAACATTTGTGATGAAAGGATTTATTGAGGATGTTAACAACTGGTCATGCCAGTAAGAAATGCTCAAGATAGTTGTTTAACAAAGTTCTTTCAGGTCTGCTAATAAATGCATAAAGGGCCATACCACTCTCCTCCAAGTCTCAAACCCGAAGGTATTCAGCTCAAGTCAGTGGATCAGGAAACCCAGCTCCCTAAATTAAGTGTCCAGAGGCTCCCCACTGCAGTAAGCACTTCTCTGAGTCAGCAAGCACAGTTTCCCCAATTCAGTGGTCAGAGGCACCTCACTCCAGGAACCACCAGCCTCCTGCACACAAAAAGCAGCTTTACTTGCTCCGTGGGTTGGAATATACTACTCTGTTCTATGTTCTCTGCTGCTGTTCCTCTTACGGTGTAGCTATCGTCTGGATTCTGGAAGTTCACTACACACAGTCTGAATCCAGAGGACTCGCTCAACTCCTGGCTCTCGTTGGTAATGAAATCCCGCCTTCATCTCAGAGGGCTTCTGGTATAACCAGCAGGAGGGCACTCCAGAGAATCCTGTTCACGATGACTCTCAGGTGAACCTATCAGTATCTTCCCCCACCTTCTTCACAGACCTATGCAGGGCAAGGTCATTTGGGGGGAGTTACAACTTTGGCTGAAAGAGCCACATTAAATAATTCACTGCCCTTGCAGCTGTAAATCTTAATGAGAACAGATAGCCTTATCTCTCTCCTGCAAAATTGCTTGAAGGTTTGAGCCTTCCATCTTGTGGTTAGCAGGCCTCTACAACCTACTTAGGCACCAGGGCTCCTTAGATATACCTGAAAGAATCCACATTTTAGCAAGAGCACCTAAGGATCTTGTTTAAATGTAGATTCGGATTCAGTAGTTCTAGAGTGGAAATGCAAATTCTCAGCAGGGGTTTAAACTGGAATGAATTATCTGTAGGCCGGGCATAAAAGATCACTAAGACAATTGGCAAAAACTTGGGCTATTCTCTGTAAAGACACGTCATTATGGTGTTTACCTTCCTTTTCTGTGTACTCCTCTGAGGGGATTGTCATCATCAGTAAGATCGATAGTAAGTAGTCTGCTAGGTTCTAGAACCAGGTCCCTGAATACCAACAACACATGGGTTCTGCTGCAAACACTGCCTTCTACATCCCTGAGGTGACGAAGGACAGCAAGCTGACGCTCACTCCAACATGCTTCGCCATGGCGAAGCATGTTGTCAGAGTGCTTCAACTTAAGTATTACATTATTCATGGGCAACTTGAAATCGGAGACTTGTGGATTGGTTTCAACATACTGCTTTCCCTCTCCCTTGTCACACAATACTCCTAGCTGCTTTCTGAAACTAGTGCTTGATACCATTTTATTGTAATTAAAAGGCCTATGTTACAATATTCACTTTGTTGTATTTTGTCTGTAGCTACGTGATTTCTGGCATTAATAGGAAGAGTTCCACCTCAGAATTTCTATATCTTAGGAATACCTGACTGAACTCAGCCAGAGGCATGTGTAACCGTAGGAGTGGTGCAACCTTCTGAAATTGTCATCCCATGCCTAATACGGATATGCGTACAACCGAGTATAAGAGAAGCCATTCTTATAAATCCAATGGCTTCTTAATTGGGCCAATTTTAGTTGAAGTGCCTTGCACATTTTCAACGAAAGCACATACTAAAGAATCAGTAAAACTCTCTTGGTACTTTTGTAGAGCTGCGCCCATTCAACATTGATGCAAGAAATACAAAGTAAGCATATGTTTTATATAAGCATATTGCTAAGTACTGGGCCTCTGGCTATGAATAAGACTGACATGGCATTGCCCTTCAAAATATTCTGAAATGTACAGAAATAGCTATCCCTGAGATAAATGAAGTGGGAAGAACACTAAATCAGCATCAGAAGATACAAGTCCTTATCCTGTATCAACCTGTTCTTGCTGAGCGATCCTAATTTACTCACTAAAACTCAGTCTTCCTTTTCTCGTCTGTAAAATGGAAGCATTATCTCATCACTGACTCACCAAGTCCATTACAATAGCAAGTGTTATAAAAGAATGAGGTAATTTTACTGTTAAAATTTGTTAACAAATATGCCTGTTGTTGTTTTGTGTTGGCCAATAAGGCACAACAGTCCTGTTTTTGTTTTTCGTCGTTGTTGTTGTTGTTGTTGTTTATATCAAAATGCAATGATGTAGTTATCATTTTTCTTCATCTACCCCCTCTCACACAGGAATCCGCAGCTTATAAAGCTGTTAATGCACTTCGATCTGTGAATGGGGTGCGATATAGATACGGACCAGCCTCCAGCACATTGTGTAAGTTTCCCATATGCATTGCGTTAAAATTATTTCCTGAACCAATATCCTATATAAAGACTTCCTTCTAGAAAGAATTAAAATATGTTTCATTTAAAGTGAATTTTTTTGACGACCAAATTAGCCAAGGAAGATAAAGAGAGTTTATATCTAGTTAGTTTTACACAGCTTGACAAAAATCACTGTGCCAATTTAAATAACATTTTAAGCAGAAAATATTCTAAGCATGCAATAATGACTAGAAGTTGAATTGAGATCTTATGACTATAGAAAGTACCAATATGGGCTCCTTAAGCAATTTTAACTGGAAATTGGTCTTGAGAAGATAATGAAGGAAATGGTTCGGCGCTAAAAGAAATGTGCTTTGCTTTTATTCCCTTTCTCTAATGTTCTTGTTAAGAAATTCTATTTGTTATGTAGTCATTTCAGCTGAGTTTTCTTTACAAGGTAAGTAAAGGGTCTTTTTTTCCTTTATGTGAAATAAAATCAATGGGGTTGTTTTATGGGAAGAATTTGAGCAAAGAATCGGGAAGCATGAATTCTAATCCTGATCTTACAATCGGCTGGGTGTAGATGATCCTGCCCAAGATATTTATTGACTCTGGACTTTGACTCCCACAAACATAAAGTGAAAAATTGGACTGCATCATTTCCAATGGCCTTTCAAACTTTCAAATTCACTGACCATATGATGTGTAAATTCTAGACAGAGATCATATAGATCTGAATGTCTATGTATATATATAATGAGCCCTGGTGACCCTGTGGATTAGACATTGGACTGCTAACTACAAAGTCAATAGTTCAAATGTACCAGACACTCTATAGAAGAAAGATGAGGTGATCCAATCCAGTAAAGATTTACTGTCTCAAAAACCCTATATAACATAGTTAGGAGTCTGTATTAGTCTGGGTACTTTAGAGAAATAAATCCACAGCAACTCATGTATAAGAGAGAGTTTTATATAAAGGTTAACTGCGCATCAAGAAAACTTCCCAACCCAATGCTGCCCAAGCCCACAAGTCCAACATTAACCCATGTCCAACACCAGTCCACAAAGTCCTCCTCCATCTCACAAAACAGACACAATGATGCCGACTACCGGAGGAAAGCCGAGTCAGTGAATGTGTAAACATCTCAGCACTGGCAGGGGTCTCCACACGGATGCTCCAGCACCCAGGGCTGCATCAGGGTAGGTCCATGTGGCTTCTCCTTGGGGATGTCTTGCAGGAAGTCAGCCTTGCAAGCTGAAGCAGGGAACTGCTAAGGCAGCTGCACCCTGGTCCGACCATCACAAAGCAAGAAACCCGAGAACTAGAAAGGCGAGGCTCACGGAGCCATTTATCCCTCCGCCCTTCAATTAACCCCACATGTGTTTATCGGCCAGGTTGGCACAATAAACTAACTACCTCAGAGTCAGAGTAGAGTTTATGGCAGTGCGTACTGCTCTCCGGTTTGCTAGTCCATACCCACTCAGAGGTTCATTGAGAAAAAGACCTAGATGCTGTAAAATTTTAGGTTACCTAAAAAATAGGTAGCAGAAGGATGAAGCTTTCTACTCCCTTAAAGTCTTGGAAGCCCACAGGGGCAGTTCTACTCTGTCCTATAGGGTTTGTATGAGTCAGAATGAATTCAATAGCAGTGAGGATTTTTTTTTTCTTTTTTGGTGTGTTTGTATATTTTTAAGGAATAGGCAATGGGCTGATAATTGAAAGGTCATCAGATCAAACCCACCAGCCTCTTTACAGGAGAAAGATGAGGCTGTCTTCTCCCATGAAGATTTAGTCTCCGGAACTTTCTGCTTGGTCACTACAAATTAGAATGGACTTGATGATAGAGGGTTTGGTTCGGGTGGAAGGTCTGGCAATTCGATTCGGAGTCACCTCCTTAAAAACCCTATGGATCAGGAAAATTGATCTTGTTGAAACAAGCCAGCTCAGGGATAATTGGGGCACTGGCTTGTGTTCGTAGGAACTCATGTTCCTGAGGAGCCAGAAAAGTATCGGTACCTTATTCCCAGCATGGACTCCTAATGTGTTTTACAAGTGTCCTCTATTTAGGCCCAATAAGGCAGAATAGCTCCCGAAACAAGACTGACAAAGCTCTAAGAAACTAGTGAGGGTAAAATAGGAGGCTTAAACAGTTGATTACTGGATAGCATTACATATGTACATTGTGTCTGAGCGCTGTTAATTCAAAATCAAAATATACAGTTTGGGCTTGTGTTTTATATTACTGACTTATTATACACTATAAATCATACTCATATGATGAAATTAAAGTGCTTTCATATAATTTGATAAAGATAGATTATACAGTAAAATGTATTTTTTTCATTGTTGCCATTCTTAACTTCAGAACTTATCTTTCTAGAAGAAATGATCACCACCTCTGTGTCTACTAAAATTATACAGCAGAAGGAATCATGCCTTTTAGGATCACAAGTTTTCTGATAAAACAATAAAAATAGTTACCATTAAAAAATAAACGCATGGAGCAATAGTCCTTTGCATACATGGTAACCCACCTAACGGGCATCATAAAACAACAGTCAGCACACACCTCTCTAGTTCCCTCGCAGTTTAGGAGTGGAAGAAACAAAAACTGGCCTAGAGACTGGGTACTAACAAAGCATCCTTTCAAAGAAGCCTTTGAAAGGATGACAGGACCCTGGAAACTAAAGATTTCAGAAAAGGGAAACACAGAGACTTAGTGGAAATAATTTCAATACTCTACACCCTGGAAGTAAGGAACTATGTAAAATTATGTAAAAAATTTAAGTCCACCATGTGTTTGTCTTAGTTACCTTGTGCTGCTGTAACCGAAATATAATAATGCCTCAGTTGTCCAATGGCTCCAAGCTCAATCTTTCCACTTTTCAAACAGCAAAGTAAGAAGAAAAAAATATGCTCAGTGTTCATGACTTTGCTCCATAGTCGAATCAAAAATTTGACTCGAAAAAACCGGTGCCAGCCAGTGTGACTCGCGCATAACAATTTGCCACAGACACAAAAGTGTGACCCTTCCGGCTACGTGCCACGCTCGCTCAGACAACATGTAGTGCTTGTGTTCGTGTGTTAGAACAGTTGTCATTAGGCTATTTTTTTGTGCTTTATTTGTGTAAAATATAACCATAGCCCCAAAGAAAAGTAGTAAAACCAGCAGTAAACCTAGGAGGAAAGCTGTGAGAACCGCAAGCGAGGTAAAAAAAATCATTGAGAAATCTGAGTCAGGTTTCCACTTGTCTGATTTGGTGGCTGAATACAGCATGACTAAGTCAACATTATCAACATTTGGGGAAGACAAATTGTGATTAAAGTGGTTAATGTATGGGAAAGTGTGAAATCATTAACCACGAAACAAAGAACCCAGACCTCCCAAGAGATTGAAAAGACTGTTAGTCTGAATAAATCGGAAACAACGCGATGACGATAGCAAGGCCTCGACAGTGATATGTGAGAAAGCTAACAGCCTCCATGACCAAGTTGAAGTGTCATGCTGGGTCCTCATAGCCAATTGTTTGTTTTGTCATTGTTTCTTGTGGAGCAAATATGTTCGGTTCTTGAGCTTTTCAGTGTTTGAACATGAATTTGGAACAAATTGAATTTGACAACCAAGATATCACTGTACTCTAAATGAGTGGCTTTAACAAACATAAATTTTAAAAAAACAAAACAAATTTATTCTCTCGGAGTTTAGGTATTTAGAAGTCTGAATTCAGGGAACCAGTTCTAGGGGAAGACATTCTCTGTTGGCTCCCAGTGTGGGAAGAATGCCCTTGTCACCTTTCAGAATCTCTTGGCCATGTGTTTTGGCATCAATCTTCCCCTTGATAGAAGTTTCCAGAGCAGAAACCCTGGGTCCAAAGGATGTGCTCTGCTCCCAGATTTTCTTTCTTGATAATAGTAGCTTCCTTTCCTCTGTTTGCCTCTCTCACCTTTCATCTCTAGTAAAACAAAAAACAAAGGTGATGCTAGCCACACACTTGAGTAAACTCTCTTTCGACTGATTGATTGCTCATAGCAGATCTCAGTACTGAGTTGATTACATTATAACGCATCACAAAATCTTGTTGTTAGATGTCTTTGAGTCAGGTCCAACTCATAACAGCTGTCTAATCCTATATCATCCTCATATGTGTGGTCATGTTCAAGCCCATCATTGCAGCCATTGTGTCAACCCTTGTCAAGGGTCTTCTTCTTTGACACTGCCCCTCTACTTTACCAAGCATGATGTTCTTTTCCGGGAACTGGTCTCTCCTAATAACACGTCCAAAATATGGGAGATGGAGTCTG